GGCAAATTGTACGGCCTTCCATCTGTATGCTGATTCATTGGACTTTGAAGAAGCAGGATAGGAAGATTAGTGATACATTTGCTTTTTGGAGAAGACCCTTGAAGACTCCCTATGGCCACATCATGCTCATAAGCACTGAGGCATTTCTGGGTTCAAAGGATTCACTGGAAGCATCACTGTTGCCCAGGTGATGCCCAATTGGGGACTCCTTTCATTTCCCTGGCAGGAGCTGGAGTGAAGGATGGGAGCTCAATCCCACTGCATGACAGTGTTTGGGTCTCGAACACAGGCTTCCTAAGCTCCAACCCTGCATCCTAACCACACGAATCGTCATACTCCTGTTCCCTATTGCCCTTATACGAGATTCAAGTGGAAGGTGATCACCAATAGTGAAAGCAGACAGCTTGAGGGGTGCCATTTTAGGATACAATTTCTAATGTATTTGGGTGATTGAGCTACTGGTGGTGCAATGGTTAGAGTGCAGTACTGCAGGCTACTTCTGCTGCCTGCCGGCTGTCTGCAATTTGGCAGTTCCAATTTCACCAGGCTCAAGGTTGACTCAGCCTTCCAGAGGTCAGTAAAATGAGGACCCAGATTGTGGGGGGCAATATGTTGACTCTAAACCGCTTAGAGAGGGCTGTGAAGCACTGTGAAGCTGTGTATTTATTTATTCTATTTTGTCAAGCGATTATAAGATAACAGGTATAAGTATAAACATAGTTATGAATACATGAAATGGATACATGTAAGAAAAATAAAAAGAAACAATAGGACAGGGACGGTAGGCACGTTGGTGCACTTATGCACGCCCCTTACAGATCTCTTAGGAAAGGGGTGAGGTCAATAGTAGACAGTCTAAGGTTAAGGTTTTTAGGGTTTGGGGAAGAAACCAGAGAGTAAGGTAGAGTATTCCAGACACTAACCACTCTGTTGCTGAAGTCGTATTTCCTGCAATCAAGTTTGGTGCAATTAACCTTGAGTTTGTATCTGTTGTTTGCTCTTGTATTGTTATGGTTGAAGCTGAAGTATTCACTGACAGGTAGGACATTGCAATGTATGATTTTATATACTATACTTAGATCGGACGGAAGGCAGCATAGCTCTAGGTTTTCTAGGTCTAGAATTTCAAGTCTGCTGGCATAAGGTATTCTGCAACAAGTAGAGGAGTGGAGAACTCTTCTTGTGAAATATTTCTGGACTTTTCTCAACTGTGTTAATATCAGATACGTAATGTGGGTTCCAGACTGATGAGCTGTATTCGAGTATTGGTCTAGCAAAAGTTTTGTATGCTCTAGTTAGTTAGTGTGACGTTACCAGAGAAAAAGCTACATAGGATTAGGTTAACAACTCTTAATGCCTTTTTGGCTATGTAGTTACAGTGGGCTCTAGCACTTAGATCATCCAAGATCCTTGACAGAGTTTGGATCATCAACAAGGTCTTGACTATTCAGCTTGTATTTTATTTTCTGTTTGTTTGTTTGTTGCCAATATGTAAGACAGAGCATTTATTTATTTGTGTAAGTTATTGTATAAGTGTTATTGCTGTTATCTGGCTGGAGAAACTATATAATTGTTCTACTAGTATGAAAAATGTATTCAAGGAAATGATAGATAAGATAAAGACAGGAAATGTTAGATAGGTATTTATTTTACAATGTACAAATACAACTGTTTTTCTGCACGTAGGCTTTCTAAAATACAAGATCTTACAGAAAACAATTGTGAACTTCTTCATTTGTTTAACACTAAACCCAGATCAGCTACTTCATCGGTCTGCCCAAGTGGCTTTCAAAATTTGTACCAATGAAAGAGGACCTTCCTCCAAACCAAAATTTGGACCTTCCTCCTAAATTGGGTACAACTCCCAGGTGAGCAACAGATTAAAAGGTCCCAAAATATGAATATGTGATCTGCTCAGCTAGGAAAGGAGGAAAGCAAAGATTGGAACAATCGAATCCAAACCATTTCACAACCTGAGGGAAAGAAAAGATGCGTACTAATTCTGAAGTTAGTAACCGGACTCAATAACCTAATAATTTATAATCACATCGGCATCTTCTGCTAGAGCTGAAGGTGGTAGCGGAAGAGTTGTGGATGCCAGCTTTAGTGGCATCCACAACAACAAAAAAGGAACAGGCTTCAAATGTGTGGACGCCATTTTGATGCCCTTGCTCGAATTGACTGCCAAGTTCTCTAACATTTGAGTTGCCAAATATTTCAGTTCAGAAAGCTGCCTCACTCCACAGCGGAGGCACAGCTGAACTAGAGGCAAGCTCACAAGAGGAAGAGCTCAGTTGGCATCCTTCCAGAAGACAGCAAATGTCCAAGTTGGTCTCAAGGAAGCATTTACTTTTGAAGGTCATAGCAACAAGGGCTACTCACTGAGGCTGTCTTTGAGATCCGTGGACTTCAACTCCCAGAATTCCCCAGCTGGCAGAGAGTTAAAGTCCACACGTCTTAAAGACATCAAGGTTGGAGCAGTGGTGGGATTCAAAAAATTTTACAACCATTTCGGTGGGTGTGGCTTGGTGGGCATGGCTTTTTTTTTTTGCTTTTTTGCAGCCCCCACACATTTTTTTGGGCCTGAGGAGGGCGTTTTTGCTCCCCTAAAGCTCTTTTAAGGCTTAGGAAGAAAAAAAAAAACAGCGGGGGGGGGGCATGTAGCACCCCTCCACGTTCCATTTTGGGAGATTTCTGGCCTCAGAAGAATGTTTTTGTTCCCCTCAGTCTCCTCTGAAGCATAGAAGAGCAAAATTGGAGGGGGAAACTGAGCCAATTTTTTTTGCCTTTCCGGGCCTTGGGCAAGGGGAATACCGGCACAGCTGATCTACATACAACTGATTGTCAGGAGGAAAAATAAGAAATACCTTAGGTGGATGTCAGGCGGGCAGGGTGAGCGAGCATCGGCCGTCAGGGTTGGCGGCGTGGCCAGCCAGAACTTACTACCGGTTTGGCGACCCATGTCAAATTTCTTGCTACCGGTTCACTAGATCCAGTGCGAATCGGCTGAATACCACCACTGGGTTGAAGACCCCTGCACTAAGGGTCTCTAAAAGAAAGTGGAGGACATAAGCCCACACGGCCTTCCCCAGGCCTCTCGCTATTCCAAAACAGAAAAACCTTCAACTCTCCCAAGCTGAATTTTTAAAAAATAACACTACAAAATGGCAGCACTCTCGAGAGATCACCAAACGGGCAAGACATTGCCGACATTAATTGGATAAACTTAGTTTCTATCAGCATAAAATGTATGTAATATTCTGAGCCACTCTTGCAGGGTGTGGCTATTCCTTACATGCATTTTGTCTGTATGTTTTGGACATCGTATTCACCCAGACTTTTTGCTTTGGCCAAAGAATTAAAAAGCTGTTATTTTTGCAAGCCTCGTCTCGAGTTTCACTCTTTGGCATCTCTGTGGCTCAGGGAAACTTCTGGGACCTTACATGTCTGTCAAAACTGAGTTAGGTTCTTGGATGAGAAGCGAAACATCGTCAAGGAAAAACAGAGACAGTCCAATTGTCTTTTGGAAAAGCGTCTTTGGGACAACTGAACACAAATAGATTTTACTGCTGGATTCATTCCTTCGTTTGTTATATCCCATTTATAAATATCTCAAGGTGGTGAACACACAGGATATTCCTGGCACTTTTGGGAGCAGGCAGTGGCCAGCAGGAACTGGGCATGGCTGGTCTAGTGAAGAGAAGGACCAGGGGAGAGATGATAGCAGTTTTCCAATATTTGAGGGGTTGCCACAGAGAGAAAGGGGTCAACTCATTTTCTGAAGGCCAGACAAGGAATAATGGATGGAAACTGATCAAGGAGAGATTCAACCTAGAACCTGACAGTGAGAACAATCAACCAATGGAACAGCTTTGCTTTCAGATTCATAAGTGCTGGGAACTTCATCACTGGAAGCTTTCAAGAAGAGATTGGACTGCCATCTGTCAGAAATGGTGTAGGGCCATGATGGCAAACCTGTGGCGCACATGCCACAAGTGGCACGCAGAGACATTTGTGCCGACACGCAAGCCACAGGCAAATTTACCTCACTGCATATATGCGTGCCTCACAGCTGATTTTTCTGCTGGTTTGAGGCCTTTTTCGGCCTCCCAGAGACTTGGAAAAAGCCTCTGCAAGGCTTTTCAGGATGAATAGGCCCATTTCGTCACTTCCTGTAACACTGATTCATTCTGAGAAGCCTTGCAGAGGCTTTTTCCTAGCCTCTGGGAAGCTGATAAGGCCTCCAACCAGCAGAAAAATCAGCTGTGAGGCGCAGTGCAGGTAAGAGGGTGGTGGCGGGGGTGTGTGCATTGCGCACACATGTGGGCGGGTGCATTGCATTCTGGGTGCTTGGCGCGCACAACTTTTGGCACAGGAGCCAAAAAGGTTAGCTACCTCTGGTGTAGGGTCTCCTGCGTGGCGGCGGGGGGGGGGGGTTGGACTAGATGACCTACAAGCTCTCTTCCAACTCCGTTAATCTGTCATCTGTAATCCTATTTTCCCAACAACAACCCCGTGAGGTGGCTCAAACCTTAGAAACAGTGACACCTCCCTCCCTCTGCCCCCAAGTATCTTACAGAGAGCAGTCCTCTATGCAGGTCCCTGTGAGATGATCGAAACACTCCGATTTGTTTTGGTCACGTGATGAATAATGGATGGAAATTGAAGGAGGAGAGATTCAGCCTGGAAATAAGGAGAAACTTTCTGACAGTGAGAACAATCATCCCATGGAACAGAAGTTGCCCTCGGAAGTTATGGCTCAGCCTTAGAAACAGTGATACCCTCCTCCCCCGTCCCCAAGTATTTTACAGTACAGTATTTTAAAGAGCATCCCTCTATGCAGGTCCCTGTGAGGTCATCAAAACCTTCCAACTTCTTTTGGTTCTGGCAAGGCCATCTTAGATGCTGTCTTCTGCTTAATCTGTGAACGTCCCCCCACCCCACTCAAAAAACTTTTCCCAGATGGCACATCGCTTAAACTGTGATTTCCTGAACAGCAGTTTAGAACTTTCAGAAGGATAAACTGTCAATCGGTGGCGAGTGTTGCGTTGCTGAGATGTCTCTCCGCTGTGCGATGCTCGCAGGGAGCGATAAGTGCTGCTTTGGGATCCAGACCGGATCGTTCCCGCCTGTTTCTCACCCCCCGTTATCAATTTCTATTGTTCCCATTGGGGCTGCTGCTCCTGCCCTCCTCTGCCCCATTCGGCTGCTTCCGCAGTAGCTGACAGAAGAGCCCCTTCTTCTCCACCAACTCCTCGTAGGTCCCCCTCTCGCGGATCTCCCCGTCTTCCATGACCAGGATGAGATTAGCCCGCTTCACGCTTCGGAGCCGGTGGGAGATCAGGAGAACGGTGCGGCGGCGGCGAGTTTCTTCTTTGTAGATTTCTTCTTCCAGCTGCGTGAGACCAAAAACGGGGAAGAGAAGAAAGGTTAGAAAGACAGGGAAAAAAGGGGGGGAGCCACAAGGCTGGGTCAGAGAGAAAGTAAACCAGTTGGGCATCAGGAATAATAAAAAGTATCTCACACACCGTTAACTACAACTTACATACTTGCTTCAACTTTCCTACTTACTACCAGTATGTATTCTCCCTAGAGCAGGGGTCTCCAACCTTGGCAACTTTAAGACTTGTGGACTTCAACTCCCAGAATTCCTTGCTGGAGACCCCTGCCTTAAGAGAAGTGTTTCTCCATCTTGGCAGCTTGAAGATCTGTGGACTACCATGTTGGCTGAGGAATTATGGGAGTTGGAGTCCACAAGAACTCACTTAACAACTGTCTCATGTAGCAACAGAAATTTTGGACTCAATTGTGGTGGTAAGTCAAGGACTACCTCTATAGAAGGATGCTGAGGGAAGGCAGACTTGAAGGAGGATAGGCAGGCCCCTCTTTCCTACAGGAAGTAAGCTGTCACTTTTGTGATATAAACAAAATCAAGGTTTACTTTATATGTGCATCATCTCTCTCCCCTCTCTCTCACACCTATCTCATGCTCTCTATCATCCATCTTTCTCTCTATCATCTATCTATTATCTCTCTCTCTCTCCCTCCTTCCCTCTCTTTCATCTCTCTCACACTTATCTAATTTTATCATCTATCTTTCTCTCATCTCACATCTGTCTGTCTGTGCATTCTCTCCCTCTTTTCTCTCATCTATCTCTTTCTCTCATGTTCTATCTATCTATCCATCTATCATATCTCCCTCCCTCTCTTTCATCTCACACTTATCGCATTCTATCATCTTTCTTTCTCTAATCTATCTCATCCATCATGTCTG